CTCCTCCACACCGACCTCGCTGTGCATCACCCAGCCTGGAATCCCCACTGGGCTGCATCAACAGCAGGGAGTAACTTCCCCAGGAGTCACAGGGTATGGAAGTCACTTGTTGATCGGATGGTTTGGGAACCAAGCAGCAAAACCCCAAGGATTTTTACCACAAACTTTGCTTAACCAACTGAGCAGGAAGGCAGTTTGATGTGGGCCGTTCCTGGGTACATGAAACAGAATTAATTTGTTCTCCCTGAAAGCCAGCAGCCAGGAATATGAAATATTTAAATAGCCTAACCATGTTTGGGATGTGCCTCTGCTTCCTGAGCACACAGGGTGGGAAAGGCAGGGTCTGCAGCTTTTGGGCAGGGTTGGTGCCTGTGCCCCTCAGCAGAGGGGGCAGAGGGTGTGCAACCACTGGGCACTGAGCAACACACGCTCCTCACCTGCAGCGAGCTCTGCCTTGAGGAAGGATGGAGGAATGCTGCTGACTCTGAAGAGCAGGGATGGATTTGCACAAGCCCCGAGCAGCAGGCACTGCAGGTCTGTGCACTGAGCTGGGGACAGGCTGACTGCTGTGACACAGCCCTGCTGCCCCTCACAGCCTGGGAACGGCACCCCCAGGCCACCCTCGCTCCCCAGCTTGCTGTGGGTGTCAGTGAGTCCTGGGCAAAGGAGCACAGATTTTCTGGGAGCCTGGAAACAGGACCCTTCGGCAGGAAATGCTGTTCCCTGGGGAGATGGTGGAGGGTCAGCCTGTGCCAGCTCTGCCAACCACTGCTTCACCTGCTCCCAGGGGACCTTTAGGGCTGATATTTCTTTGTTAGCTTTGCCCAGGTTTCCTCCTCTCTTCCCAACACAGCTGTTTGTCTCTGCTCCCTGAGTTTGACCCCCCCTTGGTGAGCAGAGCTGGTCTGGGGGGGCCATGGCCAGCTGGAGCCCCCTGTGCCCCTGTAGGCAGGGATCCTGATGGCCCTGGTGACAGCCCCCTCTCCAGCACATCCCTGCATCCCAGAGCTGACAACTCCTCTGCGTTGGTGCTGCCAGGTGAGACGAGGCTGCTGGAAAAGTCGGGAGGAGGGAAATGGAAATGATGGATTTTTGCATCTGAGAGTGGAGCAGGGGCTGCTCCAGCTGAGCGGTGCTGCAGCCCTGCCCCTGCGGCTGTTCCCTGCTCCGGCCCCTCCTGGGCTTTCTGTAAACCAACACTCGGGCTTTCCGTCCTGCTGTGGAGGATCTCCTGCCGCCGGGGGGTGGGGACCTGGGTCTGTCCTCACAGAACGCAGCATCTCCTCTCCCGCTGCATCCTCGCTGCACGGAGGATGTGGGACATGTGAAAACTGTGAAAGCAGAAAGGGAAAAACCAGCCCAGCTGATGTCACCCTGCTGCGGGGGGGCTGCCTGCCACCCCTTCTGTCCCCAGTGTCCCCGTGGGACCCACGGCAGAACCCCCTCCCCAGTGGGTGTCCAGTGCTGCCCCAAACAGGGATGTCCCAAACTGCAGCTCCAGCTGCAGCTCTGCCCCCAGACCCTCTGCCCATGCATCTCCAGAGACCCCTGGGCAGCCTCTGAGAACTGCCTGCTGTGGGCAGCGAGAAGCTCCTCCAAAGGTTGGTGGAACCAGGGTTTTCCACCCAAAATGATCCCTATTCCCGCTCCATGGTGCCCAGTCCCATATCCAGGGTTCCCTGTTCCTATTCCACGCCCCCTGGCCTGGCCTTGGCTCTCCTGGCATGTGGGGTGGGGGCAAGAGGACATCCACCAACGGATGTGGAGGCTGCTGAGACACCTTTATATCTAATCAGAGCCGGACTCTTCCTCCACCTGTTTCCTGCGGCGGATTTAGGTCCCGAAGAAAAGAAAGCTGAAAAAAAAGGGAGACAAATCTGTTCTGCAGCTTCTTTGAATTCTTCAGAGGAAGCCAGTGTGGGCACCAGGGAAGCAGCATCCCCACATCAGCGAGGCTGGAGGCTGCAGGCGCTCGCTGTGCTCCCACAAACCGCTGCTCTGGGATGGCAGAACCAGCACACTCAGGGGCTCCTGCACGTGTGGAAGCAGAGGAATTGGGGAGAATTCACCTTGGTTTGGGGCATTTGGGGGCTCCTGTCTCTTTGCTGGGCTTTGGGGCTGGTTGACTGTCACCAGTGTGGGCTCTCACCCCGTGTGAGGCCCAGCTGTGGGGCTGGATCATGCAATAGCAGCGGGTCCCTGACCTGAACCCCTGGGGGTTGTTAGCCGGGGCTGGGGGATTTTGGGAAGGGGTTTGTAGCACCGGTGTCCTGCCCCCTGACCCTGCAGCCTCACGCTGGGCTCTCTGCTCCCACATTTCCCAGCCCAGCCCTGCACCTTCCCTTCCCCAGAGCAGCTCCTGCTGCCGGGTGGGAGGATGAGGTCCCTTCCTCAGGATGTGAATCACGTCTCTCTGGGAGGCTGCTCCTGCACCCGCCGTCTCCCGCCGAGCGGGGCTGCTGTCCCTCCCCCGGCAGCGGAGGGAGGGTGCAAATCCACCGGAAAAGGCGAGCTTGGGGGTGACAGCTCCGTGGAGAGCCCCAAGGAGTGGAGTCACCATCTGCCCACACCATAGGCTGGGTTTTGGTGCCCTCCTGTACAGATGGAGGGGAAAGCAGCACCAGAACCTGCAGTTTTATGGAGATGGGAATGAACGGGGCTGATTTCCCCTCTGCTCCACCACTGTGCTCCCCCGAGAGCGACGGCTCAGGGTTGTTTGTTGTGTTAGTCCCTCGGCACACCTGTGGGGACTTCACTTGCATTAATAAATATAACAGTTGCCTTAGAGGAAGGAGCTGATGGGATGTTCATCCCGGCATTTCAAAGCGCTGAGGGGATCTGGATCCTCAGCTTCCGTGAAAATTAACGTGGTCATGAAAATCCTGCCTTTACTATGACGTGACTCAGAGTGCACCAAGTTATGAAAAAGGTAAAATAAGGTAATATAATGTAAACTAAGGAAAGAAGAAAGCAATCCCCTGAGAACAGCAACTGGCACCTGACTTTTGTACTCCTTGGCCCAGCAGTGACAAAAGTTTGTGCATGGTTATCATGATTATTGATACTCATGGGGCAAACTAAAGCCACATTCTCTGCATTCCACATGCAGCAGCCATGCAGGGAAATGGGAACAACACAGGAGAAAGAGACAAAGCCCAGAGTTCACAACTAAAAGGAGTAGAATTCAGCCTGGTGTGGCTCCACGTGCAGTGCAGCAGCACCGAGGGGAACACAGCACTCTCCTCATGAATTCCACAGGGCAGGAGTCCAAACAGCCCGTTATTATTTCCATTATTGCTGCGGTTCCTTTCCATGAAGGGGGAGTTGTTTCTGCTGTGCAGGGTTCTGTGGGTGAGCCCGCAGTGAATGGGGGGCAGTGGGGACCCCGTAGCAGGGCTGGCACTGTGATGGGCACAGAAAGCGTCACCTGCAGCCCCCACGCTCTCTGCACGCCAGGGACCTTCCCCTCGCTCCCTCCCCAGCACGAGGAGGGATGCCTGCAATTTATTTCTCCTTCTTAGAGGAAAATCAGACGGTGCTGGGAGCTGGTACCAGCCTGCCTGTTCCTAGGAGGGTGACATCAGCAGGACAGGCCGGTGTTATTACTGTAATGAACCTTTTAAAGCAGCCACATAATAACAGCCCTGGGCCTATTTTGAGAAAGCCTCCTGGGCACTTAATTCCATGGAGAGAGCGGGGCTCTCTTCAGAGAAAGAGCACGTAGGATGGATCCCAGCAGAGCAGAGATGGTCTTGGGCCTCAAAAGGGGAAGGATCACGTGGCTGCAGAGCCAGAATTAAATCCCACAAATGAGATTTTAGAAAGATCTGTTGTTCAAGGAATTATTTTCGTGGTTATGTTTCCATTGAAGTTGTCTCCTGTTTTGATTTGAATTCTTATTTCCTCAGTGCCCAGACCAGGGTGATGCAGCACGAGGTGGGCACAGGGAGACCTGAATGTCAGAGAAGGCTGATGGAAATGGTTTTCAGTGTCCGTTAGTGCCGGCAGGGAGGGAGAGAGATGGGTGGTGGATGTGCTTGGAAAACTCTTCCATGCCAGCCAGCTGAGGTGTTTGCAGTGGGTTGGGTAAAAGAAGATCATTATTCCAACCATAAGTTTAAAAAATCATTCTGAGAGGACCGCTGAGCTGGTCAGCTTTGTGTCCCTGTGGCTCTGTGGGATCCCTGGGAGCGTGGCCCTGCATGGGCTGCTCATGGCCGTGGTCCTGCTGCCCCCAAGCCATGGTCACTCCAGTGGCTGGCCTGGCACAGAGCCATGCCCCTCCACTGGGTCTGAGCTGCTGCCTGGATCCCTCTGGACTCGCTGCTCCTGCTGCTGACTCGTGTTGTGCAGAAAATCAAGGTAGAAAAAAAATAATTCCAGCCTTAGCAGTGGGGGGTCTGGCACTCCTGAGGGAGTCGGGGAACACCTGTCATTGTCACTGCTGGCCCTGCAGTGGGTATCGGGGTCAGTATCTGCAGTGGGTATCAGGTAGGTGCCCCCACAACTGGCATGAAGTCAGGACTTCCCTGGCTGTTTTATCGTTGTTTTTACTGTTGTTGTTCCCACCGCGATTACCGCCATTGTTGCCGCGTGTCTGTCTCGCACCGCTCCCGCTGCTCCATCGCTGCCTGCAGGGGCAGTGGGAGCGGACCGTGTCCCTGCGGGGCCGGGCTGGGGCCGTGGTGTCGCCGCGGTCCCCGCGGGGCCGGGGCAGCATCACCGCGCGGATGCAGATGATGTATGCAAATGAGGCGGCAGGCGAGGCCCCGCCCACTGCGCCCCGAGAGACACGCCATGCAAATGACATGCAAAACACGGCCGAGCGGGGGGCGGGGTTTGTCATGCAGATAGAGCCAGGGGCGTGGCCTGGGATGCAGATGAGGGGCGGGGCGGGCACCGTATGTAGATGAGGGGGCGGGGCCGAGCGGGCGGGTGTCGGAGCCTCCCGCCGGCTGCGGGAGCGGCACCGATCGGCACCGGGCCCGGCGGGCACCGAGCCCCGCGCAGATAACCGGGCCGGCCCGGGCCGGCAGCCCCCGCACAGCATGGCAGAGCCGCCGGCGGCAGCGCCGGCCCCCGAGGGCGAGGAGGGCCCGGTGCGCTTCGCCCGCAAGGGCGCCCTGCGGCAGAAGAACGTGCACGAGGTGAAGAACCACAAGTTCACGGCGCGGTTCTTCAAGCAGCCCACCTTCTGCAGCCACTGCACCGACTTCATCTGGTGAGACCCCCGGGGGACCTCCCCGCACCCCCCCCTGCGGGACCCCCGTCCCGCTGCGGGACCCCCGGCTCGGCGGGACGCCCGTCCCCGTCGGAGCCCAGCCCGGTGGGGCTCATCCTCGCCCATCTCCGGGCATCCCTTCCCCTCCCGTCCCGTGTCCCCTCGTCCCGCCGCATCCCATCCCGGTGCCTGCTCCCCCCGCTCCTCCCGCCGGCCGCGCCGGGCAGGCTCGCAGCGCCGCGGTGCCGGTGTCTCACCCCGCCTCTCTCTCCGCAGGGGCTTCGGCAAGCAGGGCTTCCAGTGTCAAGGTGAGTGTCGCGCTGCCCGGGGGGCTGGGGGGACCCACACACCGTATCCGTCCCCCGGGATCGGCCCTGAATATCCCCGCGGGGCCGGGGGCAGCATCCCCGCGGCACCGTCCCCGAGCATCCCCGCGGAACCGGGCAAGCAGCTTAGTCATTTTTTTAATCAACCGAGCAACTGGTCGCTGCCTTTAAGCCGGTCGGGTTTCGTTTCTAGAGATAAGCACCCAGGACTTCAGCTAAATCCCCCGAAAAAGGCAGAGAGGACTTTGTTTTTAATGAACTTAACAGGAAAACATGTGTTTGGCTGGCAAACGGGCTGGGCGAGGGCTACTCTAGGGCTGGAATTGCGCAGCCTGCAAGGACTTGAATGGCTTAGTTGTGTTGCTGGGGAGAGAAATGAGGCTTTACAACAAAATATGATGCAGTAGCTGGGTTACTACGACCAGAATTCTTTGTTCTGATAATGCTGGGATTCTGGAGGGGCTCTTTAGGGATTTGTGATGTCCTCTCGGGAAATTTGGATGAATTAACCAGGCGTTATCTGGTTGCTCTCGTTGCCAGCCCAGCTGTAGGCTGTTCCTGCCTGCAGCTCATCCTGCCCTGCGGGTCCCACCTGTGTGGGGTCCAGGTCTGGCTGTGGGGTTCAAACGGGGCTGGTGCTTGCAGCTGCTGGCAGTGAAATTTTGCTCTTGTGGATGTTTGGGACAGAGTTTTATTTTGGCGGGTGGCTGAATCCCAGGTGGAGGTATTTGGCATGAAAACAAACCGGCTGTAGAGCTCTAATATCTCCAGAGCTGCTCCTCCTGGCAGCTGTGTGGGTTGTGGTGTGGCACAGAGCCCAAGCTCGGGGTGCCAGGGTGGCTCTGGGTCTCGGGGGCAGCTGTACCTGCAGGCAGGAGGGCTCTGTCTCGGGTGCTCTCAGGAGCATCTCCGCAGATGCTTGTACGGGCAGCGTAAGTCTAATCCAATTTAAATGATGCTGCTACTCATCCTTAACACTTGTCCTAGGAGTGTAACCTTAAAATACCAAAACCATCTCCCTGCTGCCTCCCAAACCCCCACCCGAAGGCCCGGGCAGGTGTTGGCAGGCAGAGGAAAGCGGATATGGAGACTGAAACATGTCCTAGGGCTCTTTCTCAAGGTCACAGCTTCCCCTGGTACCTGAGGTTTCACACATGGACAGTTCAGTCACATTACTCAGAGGAGTTTTGTGCAGCTTGTATTTCTGTCGTGGCTCTTCCCAGGCTTACCTGGCAGTTAATTCCCTGCTCTCCTTACGGCGCAGGCATAGTTGTGCAAACACAATGTCCCTGAAATTTGGAGTGTGCTGGAGAAGCTGGAGGGGACCACGTGTTAGCAGGGCAGGGTTTTCCTGCAGTATTTCTAGAGCTTTGCTCAGTTCTACCTTATAGCATCCAGGGCTGGATAACTGGAGCCTTTCCAAGTCTCATCCAGCTGTCAGGAACTATTATCCAAACCTGGAGCTGTGCTCTTGCTTCAAGGTTTGTCCTTACATGATTGTAACCAGTATCAAATCAGCCCTCAGTGCAAGGCCAAGTAGGTGGGTCCATGAAGGTGGTCTCAGAGTTGCCACTGCAGAGGTGGAGGGTCTTCCTCCCCCCAGGAGATGCTGAGCAGAGCAGTCGTGTCCCTGGGCTGTGGGGCAGGAGCCTTGTGAGGCTGCAGTGACCCCAGCAGCATTTCCAGCAGTGCTCAGTGATGTCTCCAAGGGTGTGTGATTGGTCTGTGACATTCCTTTCTGCCTCAGGAAACCACTTTCCAGGTTGTTCTGGTATTACAGACGTGAAAACCTTCTTCCTGTGCAATAGGAAATGTTGCGGATTTGGGTCTGTAGAACAGCCCAGTCCTTCCTTTCCTACAGTCAGTGACAGGTGGATTTTCACAGACATCCCTTCTGTGAGGTGCTGGGGTGCCCAGGTGAAAGTGCTGCCATTGGTGGGGCAGCTGTGGGGGCGATGCCCATCTCAGCGAGGGCACGGGCAGCTGGTGCCCCTGATGGAGGACACGCTGTGTCTCCCTGCACGACACTGCCAGGGTTGAGAGTGAACACAAGCGAGAAGTCGCTCCCTCTGCCATCTGCTCTGGGATCACAGCCACCCCGGGGGTGCAGCCCTTCTGTGCTGGCAGGCAGCGCTGGGGGTGCCAGGGCTGGCCCTGTGCCAGGGGGTCAGGCTGTTCCTCCGGAGCTGTGGGTGCACGGGGTCCTGTGGGTACCACCAGCTTTGGGGTTGTGCCCCACAGATTGGGCTGCAGCTGCTGTTGGACTTGGTAAATACTGACATGAAAGCAGAAAACCCCAGGGCTGGCTTTTATTTGGGGCTCTTCAGCCCCACAGGGCTGGCAGTAAGCTCTGATGTTGGGGTCTAGCTCTCCCTTTGCTGAATGCAGCTTTAATTCAACTTTTTCACAACTTCCCTGAGTATCTTATCCTGTTGTTCCGTGGGATGGCTGGAATTGCAGCTGAGGCACAAGGCTGTCTGGGCTCTCAGCTGTTCCTACTGCTGTGCTCACTCTAAGTAGGTTTTCACCTGTGCCCTGATTTCTTTCTAGGACATTTGCAATAATTAGATTGTTAATTAGCTCATTACTTGTGACTTTTGGCAGGAAGAAGCAGAAACTGACTCTTTGTATCTTGAAATACTAATGGATACCACAAATGCCACTTAATTGCCTGCTAATCTGCTTCTCATCCTTGTATGCAATCCCCTCCTTATCCTCGTGTGCATCTGAAGACTTCCTGGCCCAACTTCTCTCTCCCAAGCCACGAAGCCTTTCAGTGTGGGCAGGAGGGAGGACAGGAGCAGGGCTGGTGCTGCAGGTTAACAGAACATGTCAGTATGTGATGGGCAGGCTGGAGTGCTGAGGATGTGCCCGGAGCTGCCTGGGGGATGAGCTCCCTGTGCCCTGGCTGCCTGCCAGCCCAGAGGGGCTTTCTGGCCCTGCTGCAGCTGGAAGGTGCGTGAACTCCTCAATAACAAAGAGAAGGGGGTGTACATGTTCTCCCCTTCCCGGACTTTGGGCTCCATCTGTCCCATTCCATTCCCAGGGAGCGCATGAGGAGGGATCTGCAGGCTGTGCTGGGGAGGGAACGTGTGGCCAGTCACAGCTGGTGGCTTTCTGCCTCTGTTCTGCCGATGTGGGAAGTGCTGTGAGGATGGTGAAGGAAAGGGAACTGGCTTGAAGGCTGTCAAGAGTGAGGTTCTTGTTCTCATTGTCAGAATGTGCTGCTTCTGGGAACTGGCAGCTTTCTCATTGTCTGTCCTGCTGGTGTTCCCCCCTTGGCATCCTCAGGGTCTGTTTGTCCTGCTGTCCAAGCAGCTCTTGGCCGCTCTGTGGATGGGGGTGCTGGTTGTGTTGGAGGTTTGGTGAGGGGGACACGGCCCCAGGAGCTGTTTGCTCGAGCAGGAGAGGCTGTGGCAGCGGCTGGGCTGGGCTGGGCTCTCACCCAGGGGCCTGGGCAGAGGTGTTCCTGCAGAGGTGAGGAGCCCTGTAATGTGATTCACACTTGGGAGCAAAAAATAATCTGTGTCTGTTATTGCCTCACGTGTACAAGGTAGAAAAGATCTTGGAAAGGAAAATCTTGATTCCTTAAGAGAAGAGGGGGGAAAAAAAAAGGCATCGTTTGGTAATGGGTGCTTGGATTTCATGCAGTAACTTTGTGGGGAGAATGTGTGCTTCTTGTCCCTGCTTATGAGTCGGCAAGCAAAGATACTCTTCAGATTAAATCTTTCTGAACTTCACAGCAAATAGGATTCCTCCCTCCAGCTCTTCCTCTCCCCGTCCTCCAAGGCCAGCGTCCTCGTCGTGTTTTGCGTTTTCACCATTCAACGTCTGAGACCAAAACTGAGCAGCTGGAGAGCGTCACCCGGGCCTTACCTTTCAAGAGAGCATTTCTGTCTTGCTCTCAGCCTTCACAACCCACCCTTCCTCCCCCCTCTCTGCCCTCCAGACGGAAGTGAAACCCATCACACTTTGCTCTCCGCTGCAGCCCTGCAGCGGGCTGGGCTCTCACCGTGCACTGCCGGCTCTTACTGACTGCATTAAGCAAGTAAGAAACAAAAGCAAAACAAACTCCAATCATTCAGAGTTGCCTCAAACCCAGTAATTTCGTGTCAACATATTATGCACACTGGAGAAATGTTAGTGTTCAAATAGACTAATTAAAAATGTTACTGCAATTACTTTTGCAACACAAATGATGCTAATTATATAATGCTGCAGAAACTGGAAACACGATTTGGGAGGGTTTTTTGTGTGCCTCGTGGGGATAAGGCAGTTCTTGGTGCTGGAGCCACGGGGCCAGGGGCAGTGGGACCCCCGTGCTCGATGTCAGGGCAGCGCTGCGAGCAGGTACAGATAGAAAGGGGAAGTGGTCTGGGCCCCGTGCTGCACAGATGGGCTGTGTCCTGCACAGTGCAGTGCAAACAGAGCTGACAGCGAAAGTGGGAAGATGTGCTCCTTCCCAGCCTGCTTTTAAAGCCTGTCACCTGAGCCCGCTTCCCTAATCCTGCTCTTTCCTGCGCTGGATACCTGCGGCTCAGGGGAGGGGCTGGGGATGGAAACCTGGTTTGGAAGGAGATTTTTGGAGGAAATCTGGACCTGCAGAAGCCTCCTGCAGTGCTGAGGCTGCAGCTGTGGGGCTCAGCAAGGGCCACTCTGCGTTCAGGCCCATCAACATCTCCTTGCAGTGCAGAAGGGCTCGCTTGAGTCTCTCAGTGGAAGTGGTTTCTCTTTCCCTCCCCCTCTGCTGTTAGCAGGGTAGGTTTTTGCCTCTTATCTCCAGAGATAGCTGTCATCCTCCAATGATCTGGGGCTCGGATAACGGGGTGGTCTCCTTCCTTCCCGGGGTATCTGCTGCTGACCCGTGGCAGCTGGGCACAGGGGCACAGGGCTTGCCCAAGGGGTTGGTGCCTTGGGGGTGGCAGGAGGGTTTGCAGGATGTCTCCCTGGTGCCTGCCAGCTCTGATTCCACTGCAGAGGTT